GATCCCCGGGAAGGAGGGTGGGTCTTGCGTGAGAGAGGACCTTCCCACAGCTCTGCTCTCAACTTGTCTATGTTCATGCAAAGCCTGCTCCCAGCAGCTGACGCGGGCATGTGGGCCACTCAGGGTGTAGCTTTGCTCCCGCGTCCCTAAGGGTGACCCAGGCGTGGTACTATCAAGCCACAGAGGGGCCATGTGATCCTGCCGGCCCCCGGAGCCAGCAGCCTCCGGGCCGGATCAGCCCAGGCCATTGGACGCCTGACCCGCCTGACCCACAGGAGGTGCCGCCTCTGCCTATGGCCCCTGCAGGGCAGGTGGGCAGGAAGTGGTCCTACGGATGTGTGTCTCCCGAGTGCTGGGCCCTGTGTGGACTGTTGGAGTCCTGGGGTCTCATGGAACCCCTTAACAGCCATGGGAGAGATGTCACTCCCCCATCTCAGAGGATGAAACGGAGATTCAGGGGGGCAGGGCTCTGGCCAGGGTTCGCTACAAGCAGGGCACAACTGGGGTTATCTGACGGCAGTGCCCGTGCTGGGAGCAGGACGAGGTAGTGCTAACTGATTGCATGTGGGTGGCAGCTCCCAGCAAGGAAGATGTCGTCTGTACGCGGCTGGTCCCCAGCACCTCCCCACCAGGCCCAGGACACCTCCAGGGGCAAGACCCTCGTTGGAGAAACTTGGGGCTCACAGACAGACAGCGCCAGGGCCCCGGGCCTCTGCTGCAGTTGACTCCTTTCTCCGGGGCTGCAGGCCCGAGTGCGGGCGAGGATCTCACTCCGCGCCTGGGGCGGGTTATCTCAGAGCTGCCAGTCAAGGATGGTTGGAGAGTCCCACGAGGGGGTGTGGCATTTAGAGCACGAGACTGAGATGTTGGCTGAGGCTCGGCCATGCCCTTCTGTCCTGCTGCTCTGTCCTGGCCACTCTGGTCTGAAGTGTCAGTCACTAGCCAGGAAGGGCCCGGCCAGCTGCACAGAGCCCAAGGTCCCACGGTGGAATTTGCACCTTGGATCTGCTAATGAGAATGGGAACCCTGATAAGATCCACTGTTCCCCCTTTCCAGGCATGTGGGGTGTTAAGAGAATGGGGCCAGGGTCAGGGAGCCTTGGCCAGTCCCCAGGGCCCCTAGTGGTGACCCCTCATCCCAGTGGTGTGACCCCACACCTAGGGTGTCATAAGGCCTGAGACTGGCCTGCCTCTCCCACCAGAGGGTGAAGGCCACCCCTCACTTTGCTCTCTGGATATAGAAACACTTCCTCTCTCAGGAGTTTGCCTTGGCCCCTGAGCTGGGAGGGTGAGCGGGGTGGTTTCTGAATGTCCAGAGGAAAGACGATGTCAGTTGACCACACCCCAGAGGGCACAGGGCCCGTTTTAAAGAAAGGAAGGGGGATGGGGCCTTTGACTGCCCTCCCCACCCCCACTGTCCGCCGTCTGTCCTTCCCCCACACTGCCAGCGTCAGGATCAGTATTTTGTCTGTTCCCTGTCATCTCTTGAGACCAAAATAAACTGATATCAAGAGGCAGCCAAGGATGGGGGCCAGGATGCCAAGGCTGCAGGCTGCTTATTTTAGCGGGTGATATTCCGTTTCTGGGTCACAGCGGTCCCGGCACTTGGCACTGACCCCCATGCCAGCTCCCTCCACCCCACTCCACCCCCTGTCACTGGAAAAGGTGTCATTGTCAGGAGGAAAATGTGCAGGGTCTGGCTCCCTTTCTGAGCCCTAATAGGTGTGGGGCTCAGCAAACTGCCTCCCAGTGCATGTGCAGAAACACACACACACACGCACACATGCACGCACACACACGCGCGCACACACACAGGCACGCACACACACAGGCACACACACACCGTTATTCGCAGGCCTTCGTATGAAATTAAACCTAAAGGGAAGCCTGGGATGTGTGTGTGTGTGTGTGTGTGTGTGTGTGTGGCCAGGAGCCAAGCTGAGCCTGGCGATCAGGGCCACAGCCTTCCCAACTCAGACCCAGGATCTGTGTGGCTTGAATGTGAACACATCCATCCAACAGATAGTTAATGAGCACCTACTATGTGCCAGGCACTGTTGTAGGTAATGACAGACCACAGTGCACAGATGGGAGACACAGGCAATAAACTTATGACAAGTAAATATGTAACAGGTAAAGGGGCTAGAGAGTGGGGGGTAGGGAAGGTTCCGTTAGGACTGGGAGAGTGAGCCCTCCTGGGGCCACGTGCGAATCCTGGGGGCTTTCCCTTGGGGGTCACACCCTTCTTGCTCACTAGCAGGTCGACCAGTTGTTTGGTTTCTGCCTCTGCATCAACCCCTCATTTACCCTTTTCTGTCCCCATAAAAACCCTCCCCAGAGGCCTGTTCCACAGGACTACCTCGGGGGCCAGTACAAAGTTGGGGACCCCGGAAAGGCCCCAGAGATCACTGAGGCCAAGGCTTCTCAGGCATTTACCCAACAGAAGACATGTACTGAATGTTCGCAATTGCCCAAACTGGGAACTACCCAAATGCCCACTGACAGTAGAATAAATGACGTGGAATATGACTCAGCAATGAGAAGGAGCACCCCATAGCTACTTGGAACGGTACGCATGAATGTCACAACATGCTGTCGAGTGAAGGACACAGGTACGGTTCCATTCATATGAAGTTTGGGATAACCTGTGTTGCTCAGAGCCACCACCCTGGCAGGAAGTGCTGGGTGGTGGGGTAGAGACGAGGGCAGGTGCTAAAGGGGGGGTGTACTGGGCTGCTGGTAATATTCTGTTAGAGTTAGATGCTGGGCATGCTCAGTCGGTGAAAACGGATTGAGCTGTACACATAGATATGTGCACTTTTCTGTGGGTGGGGGTATATTTTCCGTCAATAAAAAGTTTTAAATAGGCAGTGTTGTTCAGGCCTTGACTCCGGATGAGTGAAGTCAGAATCTCTGGGTAGAGGCGGGTGTTTTAATATACAGTCAGGGCTGGGAACCGCCAAATCCGCCCAACCTGTTCACTGTGGAGGTGAGTAACCTGTGATGTCAACCGAGGGGGCAGCCTGTCCTTGCCACAGGCTCCGTGGACCTGCGCCTGCAGCATCAAGCCTCCCAACTGGGCCGAGATAAGGGCCAAGGAAAAGCACTTAGTCACCAACTTGTATTTGTATCTTGTGGGGCCCCTTGTCCTGCCCCAACGTTTGGATTTCCTGTTACGTAGGGGACAGAGTTGCAGAGAAAGCATTGGTTTTGTGTCACCATCACCTGTACATTGTGGGCATGGATATACTCCCCAACCTCTCTGAGCCTCAGTTTCCTTGTCTGTGAAATGGGTGATGATAGTACTTGCTGGAAAGGCTGTGAAGGCAGCAGGACGGTGTTGTCACTTATTAGTCAGTGTGCCTGGCCAGCCCCCACCTCTGCTGTCCACCCCCAGCGCACTCTGTGTTTCCTGTGATTCTTCGCCCGCAACATGAGCTCTTGGTTTGCAGGAGCTGAGTCCAGGCACAAATCAACAAGATTGGGAGAGTGGGTTTCCCCAGTTCTGTCGATTTTAAGAGGTTTGTCTGGACTGGGAGGGAGAGGCAAGGCCGAGGGCCACCTCCAAAGGCCAAATCTGGGGAGGCATCTGTGACAGACAGCAGAGGGACCTGTGTCCTGCCTCCAGCGGGGAGCGCATAGAAGCAGCAGGACCCCAGGGATGCAGTCCAGGGAGCCCTAGAACTTCTTCCTGCCGAGGAAAATCCCCTAACGGCAAAGAGAATCGAACAGCCCCTCTCCACCCTTCTCTCCTACCCCCACCATGACACAAGATCTGAGAGGGGCTGAGCTTGAGTTAACCTTGAGGGGCAGCCCAGCCACAGTGGCCCGGGGGCACTGGCCCAGCTGGGGACACACAGTTCAGAGTCGCTGGGAGACAGCCTGGGACAGGTCCTGTCCTCAGCACCAGGTCAGACCCCCAGAACCTTGGCCTGACACCAGGGAACCATGTATTCACTGAGATTTATTTCCAGGTGGAATATTCCACGTGAGTGTAAAGGCATCCTGAATTCTCCTGAGTTTGAGTTAATAAGAAATTGTTTAAGTCGATGAGAAATCATACATCCAGTCTCCTGTCATAAATCCCATATCCTCCAAGGGGAACGGGCCTTCGGAATGGAAATTGTTTGCCAAGGAGAGGAATGGATCAAGTGTACATTTCAGCCCATCGACTCCGCGGCCGGGGATCTGGATGCGTATGTGGGCGTGTAAGCACCTGGAACGCCCCGTGCACGCTCCTGGGTGCTCGATGCACGGGGCTGTGTGTGGCCTTTGCCTCCGGACACTGACAGGAGGCGCCCTTTGCTCCCTTGCACACCCGGGGATCCTCTTCCCACGCCTGGGGGAAGGGCCCCATCTGCTATGTGCCTCTGCCCAGGGCTGGCCCACGTGCTGGTTGGTTCGTTTATTCCCCTGTCCTTTGTGGCTCCAGCCTCATTGCACAGCAGCCAGCGGCTGGAACCCTGGCACCTGCAAATGTCAGCCTCCGCTGTTTGCTGCAGTCCCGGCGAGTTCTGCAAAGGCCGTTTACACTGAACCCCTTCATCATTGTCTCCCTCTCCCCGCTCTCTCATTCAGCCCATCTTCCTTCCTGCCTCCCTCCATTCCCCCTTTTCTCTCTAAGTAGCTCCCAGCTTCTCTCCCTCTCTCCTTTCCCATTCGCCTCCCTCTCCCCCGACTCTCCTTCTCCCTCTCTCTTTCTTCCAATTCATGCTTTTTCTTATTCCTTTTTCTCTTTCTTTTACTTTATGTCTTCTCCCCCCCCTTTCATCTCCTAAATGGTCACAATTTCTCTCTGCCTTTGTCTTCCTGTTTTTTATAATTTTCTTTCCTTTTCTACATTCATTCCTTACCCTCCCTCATTTCCACTCTCTTCCCTTTCCTTTCTTCTATCGTCTCTCTTCATGTTTCCTCTTTTCCTCCATTCTCTTCCCTCTTCTCACCTCTCCCACCCTGTCCCTCTCCCTTGCTCTTGTCTCTTTATCTCCCAGTTCTCTCTCCATTCTCTTTTCCTGCCTGTCCGTCTCTTACCCTCTGCTTCTCTCTCCCCTCTCGCTCCCTCCGGGGTAGTTCCAGAAACATACCCATATATGGCCTCCATGCCAAGGATCACAAATGATGACGTCACGTGAGGGCCAACGTTCAGAGATGCGCTCCCAAGTGAAGCCCGCAGCTGATGCGCCCCGGAGGAGCTGAAGGCAGGACCACAGCCTCCGCCGTGCAATCTCCAAACAGGAAATCTGAGCTCCATAACATCTTATAGTTTGGCTTGCATCATTGGTCATGCGGTGGGCCCGAAATAAACTCCCCGCTTCAAAGGACAGCGTTTCGGAGCGGCCAGGCGGAGCAGCCAGACTCGCAGGGCCAGGGCAGAAGGAACACGCAGGGAGCATGTGCTGAACTCAGACACTCTCAGGAAAATCCTTGCATCCCCCCTGAACGGCCCCCTGAGGCAGAACCTAGCAGGTAATGCACACTTTCCACGCTCCCATGCAGACCTCGAGCGAGGGTGTTTGGCTGGCCACGCTGCTTTCTTGCGTCTCCCCCCACCTCTCTCTGCTTTCTTGGGTGATGAAGCATGCCGGTGACTTTCATTTCAGATCTGGGGGACGGAGGAGCAGCCGTCTGCATGTACTCATCCATCCTTGTGAGGACTCTCGCTCAGAACACCCGTCTGCGGTGCACTTCTAAAAATGGAAATGCAAAAGGCGTTATCAATGATGCTATTGTTGCTTCGCAGGCCTTGGGCAATGTGTGCCAGACAAATGACTTTCAGAAGTGCTTTTATTTCGGGTGAATAGATATTTTCATGCATGGGGGCATCAATTTCATGGAGTGTCTATGTGTGCCCGGTATTGTGGGGCAATAGCAACCAGGGTGCCAGGGTGCTGGGCCTGCAATGGCCTGGGGTTTAGGAGAGGAAATAGAATTTGGAAACAAAAACTAGGGCTCAAGGTGAAGAATGAGAAATGTTATGTGGGAATGCAGAGACGCAGGAATACGGTGCGTGTGTGTGTGTGTGTGTGTGCATGTGAGCGTGTGTGTGTGTAAGCATGAGGACACATGCAACAAGGAGGTGGTCTTTGAAAGGACGGACAAGATGGCATCAGACAGAGGGGTGGAGAGAGGGACTGCAGGTGGAGGGACCGCTTGGCAAAGGCAGACAAGTCAAGGTGGGTCTGGGCTCTGTGGATAGTGCAGTGTGGCTCCGGCAAAGGGCCGTGGAAGTCAGAAGTCAGGGTGAAGCTGGGAGGAGGAGCTGGAGGCATATGCAGATCCCACCAGGTCAGTCAAGAAGACGGAACAGCCCAGCCGGTGTGGCTCAGTGGTTGAGTGTCGAACCACTCACTGGTTCAATTTCCAGTCAGAGCTCATGCCCAGGTTGTGGGCTCATTATCCTCAGTGGGAGGCATACAGGAGGCAGCTGACCAACGATGTTTCTCTCATTGATGTTTCTATATCTCCCTTCCTCTAAAAATCAATAGAAACATACTTTACAAAAGAAGATGGGACACATTCTAATTGTTTCGAGCAGAGGAGGAGCAGGCGGGATCTGACTTCAGGAAGTCAAGAGAATGGACTAGAATGAGGAGGCAGGAGGCGGCGACTGGGGGTGGACAGGTAGATGATGGAGACCCGAGGCTGGGCAGGGGCCGAGCCCCTCCCTTCCCCCTTACAGGGGGCAGAGGGTAGCGCAATGAAGGGAAAGCTCAGCTCATGCATGAGGTTGGGACCGGAGGAGTTCACAGGGCTTCCGGCAGAGCCAGCTGGGCCAGCACACCGGCCACAGGCCTGACCTTTGTCATCAGCGGCCTGGGCCGAGCACAGCGTGGCTGCCAGGGGCAGATGCGCCAATCACTTCCAAAGCAGTCGATGGGTCCCGACAGCTGGTGGCAGGCCTGTTTACAGCACCCCCTCCTGAGGAGCTGGCAGAGGTCTCCACCTGGCACCACTCTAGGTTGCATCATCCGTTCTTGCACAAACAGAATTTGATTCCCAGCTTCAACACCTCCTAGCTGTCTGGCTGTACGCAAGACCCTTAACCTCTCGGAACCTCAGTTTCCACATCTGGAAAATGGGAGTGACAATCACCTCTGACTCATGGTGCCATGAGTGCCTCGTGGGGGAGGGGGTCTCCTCTTCCTCCTCCCTCCATACGATCCACCCCTGGAGACCTCACAGTGGATAACAACACAATGAACTTCCGTGAGCACTCCCCGGGCCCTTGCTGGGAGCCGGGCACTGAGCCCAGTGCTCGTGGCCATTTTTCTCATTGACTCTTCTCAAGGGCTTTATGAGTGAGAGGTGATTGTCATTCCCATTTTCCAGATGTGGAAACTGAGGTTCCGAGAGGTTAAGTGTCTTGCGTAAAGCCAGACAGCTAGGAGGTGTTGACGCTGGGAATCAAACCCTGGCCTCTTGGTCTACTAGCCTCCAGTGCCCACCTTCAACGCTACGGCCTCCTGCAGCTGCCCAGGGGGCTGACACAGCAGTAAAAGGACCTGCCCCTGGCACAGGCAGGGGTCATCAGATGCCTGTATATCAAGGACAGGCCAGACCCAAGAGAGCCTTCCCAAAGGAGGCACAGAAATCTCCTTCCACTGCCGAGCTGCAGGGGGCAGGCTGCCTGGAGGAGGCAGCTGTCACAGGACTGGTTTTACTGTGACTTCTCATCCTTAGCACCTGCTCTTGGACTAATGCCCAGGAACCTAACGAAGTTGTGAAGAGCCTTGTGGTTGAGGGGAACGTGTGGGGGGCTGGTGGCGGTGACGTGAAAGTGAAGTGGCTCCTTACCTGCCTGCACTTTCTAAAGAAGAGGACACGGAAGAGAGGGGTGGGAGACAGGAAAGACAAGGGAAGCGGAGAGAGGAGAAGGACATGATCTACATAAAGGCAGGAATCGGGGGGACAGAAAGGAGAAAGATCTCAGATGACTTTGTTGTGATCGCCATTAAAAGATTTGCAGCCGGCCCTGAGGTTGGGCCTCAGGGTGGGGAGTGGGGAGTGGGGAGGGGCTTTGGGAGTGGGGAGGGGCTTTGGGAGTGGGGAGGGCCTTTGGGAGGGCACCCCTACCTGCCCGCCCCCCTGAGCCTTCCCACTCTGCCTGCAGTCTGGGACTGGAGCTTCCAGAACCCTCTGCTGCCCAGGGGCCTAGGTGAGAGGCCATGTTCTCCTGGTGCCCAGAACAGGGCTGGGCAAGCTGCCCTGGGGCTGTGGAGGGGCGGGGGCAGCGCTGTTGGAAGCTCAGGCTGGACTGGCAAGCCCCGCCCCGCCTCACTCCCATCCGGGCCGTTGGCACAGATGGCAGAGCCTGGCGTCGCCTGAGCCCTGGGCAGAAGCTGGGCCAGGGGCCTGCAATCCTGTGTGCAGACTTGCATGTGGCCGGACCCCACTGATGGGCCTGGTGCCGCAGGAGGCAGGAGATGGGCCAGGGGAGGCGCGGGAGGGCAGCTGTGCTGGGCCAGACCCTGCAGGGCCAGGAGGGCAGGGAAGTGTCCTCCGCTTGGGAGGCGAAGGTGAAGGCAAAGGTGACTCAGGGACCTGGAGAGTCAGCAGCTTGCGTCCCAAAGAAATAAAATGGAAAGCTGACATTCTTTGAGGCTTTTCTTAGCTGGTGCTCATGGCACCTCCATTTCAGATGGAGTCTTAGATCGATGCCCCCCTCCCTCCCGATGGGCACAGAGTGTCTGGGGGCGTGGGGGTGGGAGCAGAGCCAGCTTTGACAGGTTCAAATCACTGGCCATCACCTCCCACCTGGTGACCTTGGGCCGGTCATGCCCCTTCTCTGGGCCTCAGCTTCCTGCCCCTCCCCCTCCCCCCCACCCCACCCCAGCCTCCAGGGAGAAGAGCCTGTGTGGGGGGTCAGCTGAGGCCTGCAGCCCTGAGCAGATTCCCTGGTAACATCGGCAACCCTGGCCCAAGCCCGGAGGCCTAAGGTCCTGGCGCCCGGGTAGCCAGAGCTTTAACCAGCATCAGAGTCTGGGATTAGTGATGCTGGGAGGAGCTCGTAGCATCTTTAGAGCCTGGACAATAGGCTTAAGCTCCCAGCAGCTGCAAAGCCCTGGACATCAGCAGCGAGGCCTGCCAGCACCGCCCTGGCAGAGGCCCACCTGCGGCTTTGACCGGCCCCTGTGTGTGGGTCAAACGAGGTGGCCTGGATTCCACTCTCCCAAGGCTGGCTCATCCCTGAGCCAGGGCAGAAGCTTCCGGAGTAACTAACCCCTGGCCACTGCCCAATTCTCACTGTCAGAGGGTCTGATGAAAAGAGGGGCAGGCAGGCCTGACTCCATCCACTCTGCCCCTTACCGTCTGGGCCTCAGTCTCCCCATCTGGCCAATGGGAAGAAGCTTACCCCCGTGCCCACCCCAGGGAACTGAGAAGGTCAAGTGGTGCATTTCTTGAACGTGGCGGGAAACAGTGCAGTGACTCACGAGCACCTGCTGTATGTGGTTTAGGTGTGAAAGCAATGGGATCAGGAAGGGGAGAGAGCTCGCGAATGGTTACTCCCACGAGCCCTCCAGCTAGAAGTGCTCCCTCAGAGTTCGCAGGACCCTTCTGGAGAGGGGAGGGGCAGCAGATCAGAAAGATAAGCTTCGTTATAAACTCACTGGGCGTTTCCAGGGATAGGGCTGAGGATCCCGGGGGGCCAAGGAACAGCCCAGGCCAGTGCCCACTTCCTCACGTACCCCAGGCGAGCCCAAGTGGCCAGTTGCTAGGACTGCCTTCGAGTAAGGGTCATGTGATGGTTGGAAGACCTTGAAACTTTGGGGATAAGTAGGTAGATAGATAGATAGATAGATAGATAGATGGATGATAGATAATTTTATATAAACTGCGCCTCAGAAGTTTCCCGACTCTGTAGGGAGACAGGCCCATAGCAGGTGGAGCAACAGAATGTGAGTGGTGCCCCTGGAGGCATCTCAGAATGCCTCAGCCATCAAATCAGGAGGGCTTCCTGGTGGAGGAGACGCATGAACTGCATCTGGAAGGATGACTGGCCAGGTGACGAGGCAGAGAAGGAAAGGGAAGGGAAAGGGAAGGGAAGGGGAGGGGAGGGAGATGAGCGGTGATATTGGCTCCATCTATAAACAGCCTAAGGATGGGAAGGGTGGCTTAGATCAGCCTGTGTGCTGTCGACTTGCAGGGGTGACCCAGACTCACACTCCTGACCCAAGTCCCTGGCTGAGGGGGAGCTCGGGGTCCTAGAGGATGGCTTCAGGTCCCTTCTTGCCCCCACCCTCCCAGCCATGTTCCATACCACCCCCATTTTTTATAAGACACCCAGGGAGCCACTCTTCCCATTGCAGCCCCTAAACTGTCACAGACTCCCACTTCCCCTGGTGCCAGGCCCCACTACCAGTTCCCTGGCTGTCAGCGAGCCTGGATTTGTGGGGAGGGGAAGGAACTGGGGGCAGGAAGGACCACTTTTTCAAACGCTGTTATTTAGTCTTCACCACAGCTCTGCAGGGCCCATGTTTCTATGCCCATTTCACAGATGTAGAGACTGAGGCCGGCGTAAAAGCACTGTTCTGAGTGTGTTCCGGCGTTAACTCAGGGAACCCTGTCACAGCCACTGTTACCCCCGTTTGGCAGAGGCCACCTGGGACAGGCGGGGGCTCTCCTGGAGCCGTTGTTTGGGATGCTCTGAAGGAGGTAAAAGAGGTGGCCCCAGTTTTGCTTGTTGCAAGCTGGCTGTGGACTGGCCGCCCTTGAGCACTGCTCCCTCTGCAGGCCTTAAAGGGGCAAAGCCCACTGCACTCCTGCTTTCCCTGGGAAAGGCTATTTTTTGTTCCAACTGGTCGTCCAGGGGGTCCCTTGAGACTGCTGGCCTCTCTCCAGGACGCAGGCCTGGAACTTGGCCCAGCCCCAGGCAGAGGCCTCAGAAATCAAGCTGGGCTTCGTGAAGACGAGGGGAAACTGAGGCCACAAGAGGAAGCAGGCAGGACCTCTGACCCAGCCCCACCCTCACCCTGCCATGACATAGGTATTCTCATTGTGCCCATTGTACAGACGGAGAAACTAAGGTTCTAAGAGGTCACAGGGCTAATAGACGGTAAGGCTGTGATTCGAACCCGGCCAAGCTGACCCCACAGGTGACTTCAGAACTGCCCGTTTCTGCTGAGGCTGAACTGCCCCACCTGTTCTCCCCCGTCCCTGGCAGGCACCCCAGCCTGTAATTGCATAGGCCCTGTGACGGGGAGTCCCCTCCTGAAGAGCCTGGCACCACGTGAGGCCCAGCACTAAGCCTGAGCACACGGAGCCCTCTCGATTCTCCCACAAACCCTATAACAACAGCATTTACTAGTGCCTCCATCCTGTGCATCAGGATTCTGTAGATGAGGAACTTACCCAAGGATCCTCCCAAACGGAGGGTCTGGGAGGAAAGCAAGCGCTGGCCAAGCCCTCCGAGGGGTAGGGGAGTTCGCCCCTCAAAGGCAGAGCCCTCGCGTCCCTCCAAGGTCGGCCCCACCTCGTCCATCTGTATGGGCACCTCGTCCAGGTGTAGGCCTGATGGTCGGCTGGATGAGGAGGCAACATTGCCCCCACCTGCTCAGATCCCACGTGTGTGCCCCGGGTGTGTGCCAGTTACTCGGATCAGTGTTCTTGGGATTCCCAGAAGGAGCACTGGATTTGAGTTTGGAAAACTGGGATCCAAATCCTATCTTTCCAGCTTTTCTGTGAAAACCCAGCCCTTCCCTTCCCTTCCCTTCCCTTCCCTTCCCTTCCCTCCCTGAACCTTAATTGCCTCATTTGTAAAATGGGAGTATCAAGTCTCCTGGAAGGAGTGGAGGTGTTGCAGAACTAATCCCAGTTAATTCAACAAAAAACAACAACAACAATCTTTCCTTGGGCCATGAAATAATGGACAAATGGAAAAGATCTGAATACCATCCGAGACACAGGGTAGGGTCTGGCAAGTCTGGAATTGTCTGCAGACCATCACCTGCTGCCTTCACCTCCCAGAGCTTCTGGTGAGGGAAAGGCACACAGCTGAGTGCCGTCCATGTGCCCACGATCAGCCCAAATCAGGGCCAACAACCGCCTGGGGTGAGGGCCTGGGGGGTCCCCATCAAATGCTTGCTTTCACCCAGAGCCACAAGAAGGCTGCAAACAAAGCACCCCCTCTAATCATTCATTCTCATCCGCACACAGGCCGATCCAAGCCGCCCAGGCTGGCTTCTCAGCTGCAGGTGCAGGCCCTGCCGCTTGGCTCGCTCGGGGCTCCTCTGTGCGGCTGGGCTCAGGCTGCCCAGGTGTGTTCACTCTGGGGCCCAGTGCAGGGCAGCGCCTCCAGGGGGCGCTCCTCTCCCGGCGATGGCAGAAGAGCAAGCCCCACAGCACAAGCCAAGCCAAGTGGCTGCTTTATCAGTCCACCAGCATCCACTGGCCAGAGCACGTTCATGGCCAAGCCCGGTCTCAATGGGGAGAGGAGAGGGGCTACTCTGCCTCCAGGGAGAGGGGTGAGCATTTGCCAAGCAAACCAGATTATAGCACTAGTATTTCGGATATTTTTAAAAAGACCTCATGTGATTCTCATGTTCAGCCAGGGCTCAGAACCATAGACCTACGATCACGCTGCTTGTCAGCCAGTCAAAACGAAAATCAGGCTTAATTAATTTTACTTTATTTCCTAGAAGCAGTTTGACTCAACCAGTGTTCATTTTTCCATGAGGCATGTGTGGGTTTGTTTGTGTGTGTGTGTTGTTGTTTTTAATGAGAGTCCCTGGAATTAACACGACAATTTTTTTTAGAACAATTGATTTTAATTAGCTCACGAGATTCTAAGTAACAGGCCCATGTATGAGCCCTAGCGCGCAGTGCCGAGAAATGGAAGAATGCCGGAGAAGATGTTGTTGGGTAATTGGACGGGAGGAATGTGAGCACTGTAGTGAACGCTCCGTGAGGACGGGGATTTTTGTCGGTTGGCATCACTGTTGTATCACCAGTGCTTAGACCAGTGCCTGACACAGAGTCAGTGCTCAATAAGTAATCCCTCATCAATGGTGCGTGCTTTCATAGCGAGAGGCTGTCTGGAATGGAAGACAGAATGGTGGATGAGTGGATGGTTGGTGAGATAGATAGATGTGTAGTTGGAGGGATGGAAAATGGATGGGTAGGTGGACAGAGAATGATCAGAGGGTGGATAATGGAGGGATAGGTGGGTGTTGGATGACTGGATGGATAGGTAGATGAGTAGAGGGATAGGATCATGAAAGGTTGGGTGGGTAGATGGATAAATGGATGGATAAGTGGACAGATGGGAGGGTGGATGGATAAATGAGTGGTTGGATGGACAGATGGGTGCATGGGGGGATGCATAAAAGGACAGATGGGTGGATGGTTCATAGGTTCGTGGATGCCGGAAGATAGCAGAGACTTCCCAGTGGGTAAACATAGATGCTTTGTAAAATTGTTAGTGACCAGGATGTTTTGGTCTCCTCACAGGGTTTTCTGATTTGCTGTTTCCTCCTCCCCATCAAGTGTCTCCTCTGGAGACCGGGGTGAGAGGTGCAAGAGATGGCCACGGAGATCAGTGCTCCGGGCACACAGCGTGCCATTGGGAACGAGGAGTACAGCCTGTACAGCAGCCTGAGCGAGGAGGAGCTGGTACAGATGGCCATCGAGCAGAGTCTGGCTGACAAGACCCGGGGCCCAACCACTACTGAGGCCTCCCTGTCTGCACGTGCCAACCGCCAGCCTGCCCATTTCTACCCATGGACCAGGTAAGCCAGGAGAGGTCACCTGGGCCGTTCATAAGGTGCCAATCCAAATCCAAAATGATTTACATTTATTACCTGAACTTCCTGAGCTCTGACAGCGCCAGGTGCTGGGTGAGGTGCTACATGCACTTTGCCTCATTTAACCCTCTTACGAACCTTCTAGGAGGCTCTGTGCTAGATTCCCATTTTACAGATGAAGAAACTGAGGCTCAAGGCAGAGTAACTAGTCTCAGACCACACAGCGAGGAGATGGTGAAGCAGAGCCTGGGCTGTGGCCGGGCCTTGCACTGCTGACTGCATGTTTGAATGCAGTGGACGGATACCCGAGTCTGCCCAGAGCTCCCAACCCCATCTGTGCAGTCTCCCTGGGGAAACGTGTCTGAGAAGCAAATGACGTCTTCCCAGCCTGGTGATCCTGCCCCCTTGCTCTGGCACCTCTATCTCAGCACAACCCCATCCCCACAGCAGCAGGATGAGCTAGAGCAGCACCCCAACAGAGGTATGAGACAGGCCACAGTTGCAATTCCACATACACCATTTTTTTTTTTTTTGGTTTTTAAAGAATATATTTTTTATTGATTTCAGAGAAGAAAGGAGAGAGAGAGAGATAGGAACATCAATGATGAGAGAGCATCATTGATTGGCTGCCTCCCCACACTGGGTGCCCTGACCGGGAATTGAGCCGTGACCTCCTGGTTCATAGGTTGATGCTCAACCACTGAGCCACGCCAGCTGGACTCCACATGCACCATTTTGAGTATCCCAAGAGCCACATTACAAAGTAGAGAGAAACAGGTGAAATTAACTTATGCCTAAAATGTTATCATTTCCACATCATCAATATAAAAAAAATCACAAAAAAGATGTGTACATTCTTGTTTTCTCATATTAAGTCTTTGGAATCTGGTGTCTTTTGCACTCACCGCACATCTCGACTCAGACTCCCCACGTGAGCAGCGGTGGCCGTAAGGACTCCGTCTTGGTAGGCGGGGAGCCGGGAACATGATTAAGCACTGGACCTTAGATGCTTTTAGAAAAGAAATACATACATTTAAAAGATGTTCTGCTCACCAGGAGTCCAAGTCGTGTGTGTGTTGGGAAGTGGGTGACGGGGATGGGAGCGGCTGCTGCAACTGTGTTATCTTGGGGCCGGGCCTCAGATCTCATTGTCTCCAGCAGCTAGCTGACTCCTTGTGTGGCCCCGGGCAAGTCACCTCACCTTTCTGAAACACAGTCTCCTTTTCCAGTTATAATAGCAACAACAATAAACAGACTTTTCCCATGTCCAGCCCCAGCTGATAGGGAGGAAGGTAGGTGATGGTGCGATGTTGGCCCTTGCCCAGGCTGGACCATCTCTGCGAGGCAGGCTGGCCAAAGGCCCGGGAGGTCTGTCCCCAGGGAGTCCCTTCTAAAGGGGAAGGCAGGCAGCCTCGTTGGCCAGCTGGGAGGCTCCAGGTTATGGAGCTGCCCCTGAGTACATGCCATCTGGGGACTCAACCGGAGAAACAGAAGCCCAGAGTCAAGGACTCATGGTGACCTGTGCTCTAGCCGCTCTGGTTCCTGTCCTGGCCAGTTCGTTCAGCGTAAGTCAGACCACAGCTTCCTCTTTCTCAGGAGGGATCAGAGAGCAGAGCAGCCTCCCTCCCACGGAGCCTGCAGCACAAGCCACCATCCCGGCCTCGCAGCCTTCTCCCAGCGTGGGAGCCCCACCCGGGAGTCTGCGCCCAGACTCTGGCCTCTTCCTTCCTCTAGTGGAGAAAGAAGTAGAGACACACCATGAGGCCAGTGCAAACACTTACTCAGCCTCCTGAGAAAAAGCGCTCAGAGAGAAGTAAAATGACTTATTCAAGGTCATGTGACCCTCACTGACGATCCAGGTACAGGTAATGTAGGGGAGAAGAATTCAGCCCTGCATCTTGTCACTCTCCCCCCCCCCAAAAAAAAAATTTAATTGAAATTAATTGGGGTGACATTAGTTAATAAAATTATGTACATTTCAGGTGTATAATTCTATAATACATCATCTGTATATTGTATTGTGTGTTCACCACCCCGAGCCAAGTGTGTTTCCATCACCATTTATGCCCCTTTGCCCTCCCTACCTCCCTCCACCCCCTTGCCCTCTGGTAATCACTGTAGTGTGGTCTGTGTCTGAGTTTTTTCTTTGCTCATCATCTTCCTTGGCCCTCCGAGGGCTCCCTGAAAGGCAGGTCTGACTTCCTTTCCCATGGAGGAGAAATAGGGTTCGTGCACTGCTGGCCATAGAGGAACAGAACAGGGGGCGCCCCCAAGGTTACGAGGGTGGACCAGCCAGAGTGGGGCCAGGAAGCTGGGTCTTCAGTCTTTGAACTTCTGCATTTTATTTAAGATTGCATTTCCGAGAAGACTAAGGAGGAAAGCATGAAGCAGGAACTTGCTTGGGCTGATGTGTACGCACTGTGAACAACTTGAATCAGTCCATCCATACTCACGGTGCACTTCTGAGGTGCCAGCTTCCTGGCACCTGGATGTGGATCAGGCCTGGTCCCCGCCCTGTCCAAGCTTGAAGTCTAATGCGTATAAAAGGCACAGAAGTACCTAATGACCCAACAGGAAAGGTGTAGCAAGGAGGCTTGTCTCGGTTTCCGAGGGACACAGAAAGGGCCTTTACACTTAGTCAAGGAGGTGGGCTTTGCAGGATGAATAGGAGTTCACCAAGCAGGGTAGACGAAGCAAACTTCTTTGAGCCTCAGTTTCCTCATCTGCAAAAGGGAGCCAATTGCATCTCCTTCACAAAGTGGACTCGAGGATGAAATGAGATGCTTTGGGCCATGTACCTAGCACAAGGCTTGGCACATAGCCAGCGCTCAACCAATCTCGGCTATGTGTGTGTGTGAAGGCAGACGTGGCAGCTGGAATTCCTGTTCTCTGTGATTCCTCTCTGGCCAGCCCAGAAAGGATGGCATGGTCAATGGGCGAGGGAGAAACAGAATTCTCACGGGAGGTAGGCTGATCCTAAAGACCCATGGGAACGGGATGGAGGCGGCAATGCCCTGTGAGCCCCTCCTCTCTGTACCCGAGAGGGCAGGGCTGGTTCTCCAGGAATCTGAGGTGTTGGCATGCAGCCACCCAACACTGTGATTACCGTATGGGGTAGTGCCCCTCCAAAGGCTTTGGTTTGTTTTGTTTCATTCATTTAAGTTTATCAGGTGCCTACTGTGTGCCAGGCACTGTACTCATGACACCTGTGCTTGACATAGGGTGGGTATGAGGACCAGATGAGAGTACAGGTATAGGGTCTGGGCACAGTGGTGGGCAAGGGCAGACTCTCAAATTTGTGAGCTTCCTCCCTTTAAGATGCCTGCTGCCGCCTGCGTTCAGCCAAGGTAACCCCTCTCCTGGGGCAGCTGGGCTTCTCATTCACCGAGAAGCCAGCGGGCATCACAGTGTGGGACACGCAGGAGGCAGCCGATCAATGGTTCTCTCTCTCATCAAGGCATCACCGTTCCTCCCCAAGGCGGAAGCCAGGACGGGGCAGTGGGGAGCTGGTGATGGAGCTGCACTCCTGACCCCCGCGCTGCCCGCCCAAAGGAAGGACAGGCCCCTACCTGGGCCTCTTCTAGGGCACGACCTGCGCCCACATCCCCCAGGTTCCTCTCACGTCTGATGAGTCAGCCCGTGGTTTTCCCCTGCGCTGGGCCTGGGTAGGAAGTGCCGCTGCAGCCTCAGCAGAGAGAGCACGGACCCAGTCAGGGCCTGGCCCCCTCCAGCCGAGTTGAGACTCACGACTCAGTAGCTTGGAGCACTCGCCCTGCCTGCCCCTAACACCCCAGTTAACCACATGTCAGGGCTCCCAGAACAAGTCCTCCTGCCCCCTGTTCAGCTCCTCCCCTGCGGCTCTGTGGTTGTGTGTGCGTGCCCTTGTCTCACGTCCCGCTGGCCCCCGTACATCCTGAGGATCAACGAAAAGAAGTGCCCTGGCCCAGCTGGTGTGGCTCAGTGGTTGAGCCAGGAGGTCACTGTTCGATTCCCGGTCAGGGCACATGCCCGGGTTGCGGGCTCAATCCCCAGTGTGGGGGGCGTGCAGGAGGCAGCCAATCAATGGTTCTCTCTCATCATTGATGTTTCTATCTCTCTTTCCTTTCCTTCTTTTATTTCTCCCTCTTCCTTCCTCTCTGATATCAATACAAACATATATTAAAAAAAGAAGCGCCCTATTGGTCTGCATCCCAGGTGCTGGTCCAGGGCGTGAGCGAGCAGGAACTGAGAGGTTCTTGCTGAACTAATTCGGTTTTCCCGTTTCCTCCTCTGCGAAGTGAGAGCACTACACCCCCGGCCTCCATCCTGGTGGCGGGACGGTGGACAGGAGGCACAACCCCAGGGGCTGTCTGCACGCCGACTCGCTGCCACCCCACCGGCCGCACAGTCTCACGGTTGCTGGCACTGTTATTATGCCATCAGAGAGAGGGCCTCGTCCTGGGGTGGGGTCTGGGACCTGACCGGTGCCTACCACCTTGTTGAAAACATCCCCGCTCTGGGAGGGAAAATGTTCGGTCTGTTCCCGCTGACCGGCCTGGGCTGGATCTTCACGTGGTGTTTTGTTCTTGCGTCACTGATGCACGGATGTTCTGAACAGCAGAGTGAAGTGCTAGACTTGGAGAACCTTGATGTGTTTCTGTCGTTAGCAGCACAGGGTAACGCGCCTTGGAGCTGAGTAACCTGTGATAACATTCAAATGATATTTACAAAATGGGAGACCACACGTGGGCTGATGTTGAGGGCGCTGGGACCCCCGGATCCTGTGGAGACCGAAGCCTGCCCAGCGCTCTCCCCTTGCCAGGGCCAGGAGCAAGCGCAGATAATAGTGCTGAGCCCGGGGTTTCAGGGCCAGTGGGTTGGTCTCTCATCTGTTTGACACGCGGACTTTCCACGTGAGTTCCTTTCAGCAAAGACTCTACGGCTACGACAGCAGCGAGGAACCCCTGGCCCGGTCCTACCTCCTCATTTTTTTAAAAAATTGATTTCAGAGAGGAAGGGAGAGGGAGAGAAAGAGAAAGAAACATCAATGATGAGAGAGAATCATTGATCGGCTGCCTCCTGCACGCCCCACACTGGAAATCGAGCCCACAACCCGGGCATGTGTCCTGACCGGGAATCGAACCGTGACCTCTGGTTCATAGGCTGATGCTCAACCACTGAACGAGGCTGGCTGGGTCCTACCTCCTCACTTTGCAAAGGAGGAAACCGAGGCACAAAGAGGGGCAGGGCCTTGTTCAAAGCCACAGGGCCTGTCAGGTGGCCTTAGAGCTGGAGAGGACTAAGGCGGGGGAGGTGGTGTCAGCGCTCTGCTCCCTTAGCAGCTGCAGCTGTGTGTGTGTGGGGGGGTGGGGGTAGGGAGAGAGGGGGTAATCCCCCACCTTGCAGAGTCCCGGTTTCCTCGTCTATAAAAGGCCGTGACATTGGCACCCACCTCCAGCGTTAACAAATGAGGAGTGGGTACCCAGGAGAAAGGAGGTGTTGACCAGTAGAAGGGAGGGAAGGAGGTGACAGTGGTATCAGGGATGAGGATGAGGAAGGGGTGACCTGGAGCCCCCTGAGATGGGCTGGAGCAATGGAATCAGGGGTCCTTCCTTCTCTCTCTGCCCCCTCACCCCTCCGATGGTGTCCTGGCCTCGCTGAGGTACTCACAGAGTCTGTAGAATCTGCCTGTCCTGGAAGTGTGGGTCCTACTCAGGGCCAAGTTTCTAGCACCTCCATGCCCCACAGGGTGCTGGTCACTGACAATAATGTCCTCCCCAATCCCATAGGCCCCCCCCCAGAGGGGTGCCGCTGGTCCCAGGGCTGACCTGTTGGAAGGAGGGCCAGCATGGGCCACATGTCCCATTCCCACTACAACCCCAGCCAACCAGATTCCTGGAGTGGCCACCACGCCTCCTCTCACCCCTCCCATCCTCAGAATAGCCAGGTCGGGTGGGGAAACTGAGGCTCTGAAAGGCAAAACAATGAGAAAATGAACGGTGGACATGACGGAGCACCCCTGTGCGTGGCCCTCTGCTAAGCACTTCACACCGTCCACTCACGGAGACCTCAGCCCTGGGACTAAGGCCCAGGGAGGTTCACCTGCCCGAGGTCACACGGCCAGAAGGTGCCAGAGCCTGAGTTTGAACCCACATTGGTCCGACTCCACGCCCTGGCCCCTAGGACCTTCCTCTGCATCCTTTTGCTAAAACCTTTATTTATTTTTAATAATATTTTTTATTGATTTCAGAGAGGTAGGGAGAGGGAGAGAGATAGAGAAACATCAATGATGTGAGAGAATCATTGTTTGGCTGCCACCTGGGGATCAAGCCCGCAACCCAGGCACATGCCCTGACTGGGAATCGAACCGTGACCTCCTGGTTCATAGGCCGACGCTCAACCACTGAGCCACCCCGGCTGGGCTGCTGACACCTTTCTACTGTACGTTCCCAACCCTGGGACGCAGGCCTCGCTAACGAGGAGCCGGCGAGGTGGGGTGGGGACAGAGACCAGCCTGGTTTCAGCTCCGCTCCCCTGCCCCCTCCCCCATGAAGCTCTTGTCCATCGCTGTGAGGACGGGGCCTGGCCAGCCCTGAGGCTGAGCCCTTTCATCCTGGGACCTGCCGCTGACAGTCTCACATCCTCCCGGGTGAAGAATGTCACCTTGTTTCATATCTGCCTCCTGTGTGGTTGGCTGGGGAAGGGGACCGCAGGAGTGGGGTGAGGTTAACCTCATTGTTGTCTTATATGGTCATTTAAATCTCCCAGGGCTTCCTCCACGGGCCAAAAATAATCCGAGACCCAGCAGCTGTGTCCAGCACAGAGCGGACCGGGCCATCTGCTTTGGTTCAGAGCCCTGCGTCTGTCTGTCAGTCTCTCCCCCTCAAGCTCCCTCTGTCCTCAGACCTGCCTCTGGCCATGACCTGCTTCTCATATGCAGAGTATTTTTCCCTCTTTCACTCCTGCCCTGCACCCTCCAGGTCCACGGCGCCTCCCGAGAGCGGCTCAGCCCACTTGGGCCTGTTCCAGGGGGTCATGCAGAAATACAACCGCAACAAGGCCTCCCAGATGGCGTAAGTGACCCGGGGCTGCCCCTGGGACCATCCAGGCTCCTCTCCCAACTGGGGATGGTGGGGGAGAGGGGTGGGAAGCCTGCCCCAGGCCCCAGGGGGCGGGGGGGGCACTCTGGGGGAGACCTCCCAGGCACACCCCTCCCTAGGGTGTCCCCCTGAGACCCAGTGCTCTGCTGAGCTGGGCTTGGTGGTCACAGACTCGGCCCTCAAGCGATGGCCAGGCTGTGACTCTGATGAGCCTCTCAGAGCCCCAGAGCGAGCCCTGTGTGCTGGGGGCTGTGGGCTCTGAACCTGGGGGCCCAGCAGGGGAGCCGGCCCTAGAACCTCTGAGGCCCAGAGGGGTGCGGAGGAGCCGGAGCTGATAAGTCAGCCACACCCTCTGTCTCAGTTTCCCCCACCCCTTGTCATCACTGCGGGGGGCAGGGTTCGGTTCGCTTTGTTGCCTTTATTTGTTAAGTGCCAGGTGCTAAAATCCAGAAATAATCGAGTTACCGATTACCGATTACCGAGGATGTGTTAGCCCGGCACCAGGGTGCTGGGCTCGGTGTGTCCGTGGGAAATAGCTCTGTCCGTTTGCTTCTCTCTCCCCATATGGACCCCAGAAGTAGCTAAAAGCAAAAGAAGGGCCATCGCTGGCACCCTGTCCGCTTGCCCGGCTGTGCTGGGGGGAGGGGAGGAGGCCATGGCCAATGTTTTGCTCCTCCTCCCCAGCCCGTTGTGAGCCCCCACTTCCGTGTGCTGCAGGTGGGGTTTTGACTGTGGAGGAGACCTGGGTTCTGGTCTCGGCGCGGCTGAGGTTTCCTGTGACTGCCGGGGAGTCGGGGAGTCGCTGTGAGGTTAGAAGACAGAGTGGCCTCCAGGGTCCTGTTCAGGTCCTTAGTTTCTGGGGGCCTGACACCCCAGCGGCCACTCCCACCCTCGGGGCGGGACTTTGGCTGGGCTCACAGAGAAGCCATCCTCGGCTCCAGGGGGAAGGCACCAGGCTGGTGGCGCCCCAAGAGTGTTCTCACTATGCCGCCCCCCTCCCCCCCCTCGCCCAAGGCCACAAGAACAGCCGCCGCCTCTTTCCACTTCAGCCGGGGCCCCCAGGAGACCTTCCAGGGAGACAGGACACATACCCCTCTGGGGCTGCTCTGGCCGCTCATCAGAGGAACCCGTCAGGGCGGCAGTGATGGCGTTGATGGGGATTCCAGGGCTTATCTGGTCAGTTACCCATCATCCTTGCGGGTCTGTCACTGAACTGGCATCTAAGCGCCGAAGCTATTAATAACCGAGAGGCTGAGAGTCAGGGGGAAGTCAGCTCCGGCTGGAGGAAGCAGTGGGAGGGTGGAGGGGCTGGCCTGGGAGACCCTGAGTGCCTATCCCAGCCTCGGACAGGGGTGGGGCCCTGTCACTTCTCCACCTGGGAAGTGGGGCCGCGTCTATAGAATGTTCTCCAGGAGGAGATCTGGGAGTCATAGGCATCATGGTCTTCACTGGCTCTCCAAGGATGGGGGAGGGAGCTCTGAATGCATGCGTGATGAATGGATGAATGAATGAATGAATGAATGAAGTCGCTTTAATGAGCTAGGCAAAGAAGTTATCATTTGTATTAGCCCTGAATTCTTTTTGACATTCAGAGTTTTAAATGTATTGATTAATCAGATTGATTAATCCTTCTAGAGCTTAAGCCTTTCAGCTGCTAAAGGTTCTGGGGTGAGGATAAGGGTCAGGAGCAAGAAGATGGTTGCTGAGTGCAGAGTCCCCTCAGAGCTGCTCAAAGCACAACCGGCCCCAGAGGTGAAGGTGCTGGGTCAGTCAGGGAGCCCTGGCTCAGGGAAGGTGGTGAAGTGTCGCTAACACCGCCCGCGGGGTCAGACTTCCATCCCTTTGGAGGCGGGCACTGTACACACCAATTCTCTCGGCGGACGTGGTCTTGGTGTAACACCAGAGGCAGCCACTAACAACCACAGGGACAGAGGGGTCCCCTAATTCTCTTCCAGCCACCAATGAGCCTTGTCTAAAAGGGACCCCGTGTCCATCTGTGGAAGTGGAGGAGCTTGCCATGTCTCAGCCATTTCTAGCAGTTTCCCTACGTGGCGGGCGTTTGGAGATGAAAGCTGTGAAAACGCCCAGGATGCTCACAGGGGGAGTGAACGCTGGCGAGGCGTGATCCGGACCCACGCCCACCTTTGTAAGCCAGTGTGTCCTCCAGATGCCCCGGGGAGGCCATTGCCACAAATGTATTGAACAAGTTGTAAACAAAATTCCCAAAGAAACAAGCAAAACTCTGATGATTAAAAAAAAAAAAAAAGAGGCTATCTTTTTGGAAACAGAAGGGATGAAGGTGTGAAATAATTGTTGGGGTTTCCGGATTTTGAATTCTTCCTTTTTTCCTTCCTCTCTCCTCCTTTCCCTTCCCTTCCCTTCCCTTCCCTTCCCTTCCCTCCCTTCTTTCTTTCTTTCTTTCTTTCTTTCTTTCTTTCTTTCTTTCTTTCTTTCTTTCTTTCTTTTCCTCCCTCCCTCCCTCCTTTCTTTCTGTCTTTCTTTCTTTCAGCACATATTTATTTAGCACCTATTATGGGCCAGCCACTGATTTGTCCCTGGGAATTAAATCATGAGAAATAAAGACACAATTATCACCTTCTTGGAGCTCATAGTCCGGTGGGGGAGACACACAATGGTCAAACAATCATTCAAAAACCTGTGAAGGCCAGTGGTCATATGAGGTTTATGATTGGGGCAGGGAGAGGCTGACCTGGCCAGGCAGGTCTTTCTTTCTGCGATGGAGCTGAGGTCTGGAGAGCCAAGGCCAGGGCCAAGGTCAGGGCCAAGGTCAGGGCCGAGGTCGGCCGAGCTCCCAGGGCACCCCTGTGGGTTAGGCAGGATTATTCTTCTTGTTGCCGAGGACGCTGGCTACAAGAGGGTGGAGCACCTGTCCAGACCAGCAGGGACCAGCAGGGCAGGTGACCCCACACCTTGCACACTCCTGGCCAGGCCCTGCTTTCCCCTGGGAGAGAGGCCGCCTGCCCAGCCTGCGCCCCCCTGTACTCTGAGGAGGCCCCACCCCTCATTCTCACAGGCCCGTGGACCCGGTGCTAAAGGCCATCAAGGAAGACGATGAAGAGGCCTTGAAGGCCATGATGAAGGCAGGGAGGAACCTCGCCGAGGCCAACAAGGAGGGCTGGCTGCCGCTGCACGAGGCGGCCTACTACGGCCAGCTGAGCTGCCTGAAGGCCCTGCACCGAGGTGAGGCCGCCGCTCTGGGTGCAGCCGGTCCTGGGAGTAGGGCTCAGGGCGAGGACTCCTCCTCCGACAGCTTCGTGCTCTTTGCCCCACAGCCTGGGTGAAGGGCACGGCAAGGTTCACTCCTGAGTTCAAGTCTCCAAGTTGGGGGAGGGAAAATGACTTGTCCCCAAATGCAACGGCCTCCCCTCACCCACCCAACCTCTCCGGACCTCCCAGGACAGGAAAGCCTAAATCCTAGAAAAGGAAGGAGTGGGGGTTGGCTTTGGGGAGAGCTACTGCCAGCTTGTTCTAGAATGTTCCAGAGGCTGATTTGGTGTGGAAAATACTGCAGCTGTGCCTGTGCCCTCCAAGGCCGTCCCCCACAGCTGTGGGACCCTGGGCGAATTGTGCCTCCTCTCTGAGCCTCGGCCTCCCCCCAAGCCAGATGTGGGTGGGGACACCTGCTGCAGCACAGGCCCCAGACAGCCTACCGTACCCCAGGGCAGAAACAGCGGCATGAGACCGAGCTTCCAGCAGTGGTCACTGGGACTGTAAGGGAAGGTCAGGGTCATTCGCAGAAGGAGGAGGTTCAACCAGGGAAGGCTTCCCAGAGGAGGTGGCATCTGAGCTGGATGCATATGACCAGGAAGCTGAAACAGCCCTGTGAAAACTACTGAATCCAGGGCCAAGATGACGAAAGCAGGCTGGGTGGTTAATTGAGACAGATGCCACATAAGCCTGTCCTTGGAATTGGGAGGAAACTCTGACCACCTCTGTGCTGGGGTGAGGCGGGGGGCGGAGGGGAGAGGCAGGTATTTTCCTCCTTGATGAATGCAGTCTGTCCTCCCCAGCATACCCAGCAACAATCGACCAGCGCACCCTGCAGGAGGAAACAGCCCTTTACCTGGCAACGTGCAGGGGACACCTGGACTGCCTCCAATCCCTGCTGCAGGCAGGGGCCGAGCCCGACATCTCCAACAAGTCCCGAGAGACACCTCTCTACAAAGGTGAGCTGCCCTGGTGGGCTTCCCGGAGGAAGAGTCCAGAAACGAGGTGGGCGATTGGGAGCATTGCTCCTGAGGTGCATGCCCCCGGCCCCATGGGCTCTACTTGAAGGGGCAGCCTCACTCGGATGCATGACTTAGGCCACTGATTCTCTCCTTCGTGCTTGTATTCGGTCAACATTTCCCAAGTCCTCCCCTGGGGTAGGCAGGCCGAGGAGCACTGGGGGCTCAGAATGGAAAGAACCATCCATGCCTGAGTCTTCTCCCAGGCCAGTGGGCATCGCCTCACATAACAGTCAGCTCAGGGCGGTGAAGAGCATGGCTCAAGGCACCTGGGAGCACAGGGCAGGGGCCCTGACATGGGGAAGGGCACCCACAGGAGGGTGTACCTGGGCTGAGCCTGAACAGGAGGGATCTGCCAGCTGGACCAGCATGGGAAAAGCACAGGCAAAGACAAAGAGGTGTGGGAGAGAATTTGTACCTCTGGGATGCTTAAGAAAACCAAACACTAGTGGCTGAATCAACACATCATCCAGGGACATTGGCAACCCTAGCAAGTGCCCAGAGTCAAAATCCGAATAATCCTAACAGCTGGCATGTATTGAGAGCTCTCTGCATGCCAGGCACTCCTTTTATTTACCTCATATCCATCTACATATGAGGTAGGCACTGCTAGCATACCCATTTCACAGATGAGAGCGTAAGGCACAGAGACCTGCAATGAGACCCGGGATCACAGCCAGGGGCAGGCCTGGGATTTAAACTCAGGAAGGGGTATGACAGCTCCATGCTCTGAACTCCTACCCTATAAAGATCTAGTCTGTGCCTACATCAGCCTTGGGTCTTGCAAAAGTGAGAGGGCTTCTGCACTCAAAAACTACAGCAATCCCCCATCTCCCATCTATCTGGTATCCAGCACCTGGAACATTCTGTAGGCAGCAGACACCACTGCAGACCTGCGGTTGAAGTGTCTCCCCCAGAACCCAGGTCCACTGGCCACCACAGCCATCACCTGGACGCTCAGCTGCCCCAGAGAGCGCTCCCATAATGCTGGGTGGGAGGTCCCAGGATTGGGGGGTAGAAGGTCCCAGGATGGGGGGTGGGAGGTCCCAGGATGGGGGGTGAGTTATAGCCGAAGCTCACTGTATGAGCTCAACTATGTGCAAAGCACCCTGCTAGAACCTTACATGCACCACCTGGCTCTGTGCTCCCACAGCATCTTCTCTGCTTTACAGGCGAGGAAACCAAGGCTTCGAGGGATGGGGCTTCGCCTGGGGTCCTGTCTGGAACACTACCAGGCAGCCCCGTTCCTTCTCTCAGCCCCTGGCTGAGCCGGAGAAGCCTTCAGGGGCTACTAGTTCATTGGACAAGTGCCCCCGTGCCCTGGTGACAACTCTGGCACCGAGAGAAGGCTTAAAAGGGAGGTTGGGGCAGGTTAAGCCAGACTTGATGAGCTGCATTCAGGAGATAACTTCTACCCCAGATTAAGTGAGCAGCCCCTGCAGAGGGGCTTTGGCAGGTGTGGCCTGTGCTCCTCCTCGGGCCTTGGCAAGGTGGAAGGCTGACGCGGGGAACACTGGGAAGAGACATGACATCAGGCATCCCGGACACTCCCGGGGACAGAGGTTTGCTGGACCCAACAACCTGAGTTTGAATCCCAGTTCTGCCCCTTACTGTCTGTGTGACCTCGGATAAGTCACTCACCCTCTCTGTGCCTCATTTTCCTCCTCTGTGCAGAGGGATAATAATACCACCTATCTCAGGGATGGTTGGGAGCATTAAATTAGCTAATCATGTAAAACGCTCAGAACAGCGTGCCTGGCACATAACTAGCGCTATACGCACGTCAACAAACATTGATGCTAATTAGTATTACTATTACTTTTAGCTGTCTGTCCTATGCGGACACTGAAACTTAGTGCTGGCCTAGTGGATATTTGTTGAATGAATGGCTGAGGAGTGAATAAGTGAACGAATGAATGAATGAATGAACAAACAGATGAACGACATCTTGGCTGGCCAGGTCCTGCCAGGGGCCCTGCTGACCGTCTCGCTTCTCCCTGGCACAGCCTGTGAGCGCAAGAACGTGGAGGCGGTGAGGATCCTGGTGCAGTACAACGCGGACACCAACCACCGCTGCAACCGCGGCTGGACTGCTCTGCATGAGTCGGTTTCTCGCAATGACCTGGAGGTCATGGAGATCCTGGTGAGCAGCGGCGCCAAGGTGGAGTCCAAGAATGCCTACGGCATCACCCCGCTGTTCGTGGCCGCCCAGAGCGGGCAGCTGGAGGCACTGAGGTTCCTGGCCAAGCACGGTGAGTGCTCAGGAGCCCCCAAGGGCACAGCTAGGAAGGTCCTCAGAGATCCACCCCAAGGGCAGGCGAGTTGAGGTGTCATCGTCTGGGCAAACTCTGATTATCTTCTTGGGGTGCTTGTTGAGAGGGTTCTGAGGTTGTGTCTAGGCTCAGTGGGAAACCTGTTGAGATCCACCAGTGATGCCTGAAATTAGGCGCAAACTCGG